TTTTATATCTCAACGAAATGTATATTTTTTTTTTTTCCCCTCTTCTCCTCTTCTCCATTTTTCTTTCCTTCCTTCTTTCTTTCTTGCTCGATTTCTTTCCTCTTCCCATTAACGCAACACGACTTATAATATAATATAAATATAAGACGACTTCGTCAATCAACGGTGAACGATTGTATCGATCCGATTCAATGTGACACGAGTTTCAAAGTTCCAAGACACAATTTGAGGGAATTTTGAAAATCGTGATCTCGCGTGATTCAACTTTAAACGATCCATACAATCTTCACGATGACATTCGGTAAGTAACAAAATCTCGATCTCGATCTCGATACGATCTGATATGCTGAAAGAAGGGAAAAGGCTAAGAGAATTAGAATAAAAAATAAGGGAGGGGAGAGAGACGTGATGGGCATTTTCGGGCACACTCGTAGACGATTAAAATTCTTGAAAAATTTGAGATCATATTTCAATGTCGACGAGTATATTGATCAAAGAAACAATTCTCAGTGAGTTTTTCTACGTAATTTTCTAATATAAATATTTGCGCATCGCGTATATATCACGTATATGGCTAAGAACAGCGAATAGATGTTACCATGATTGGTAATATTCATCAAAAATGCATTGATGATTTATACGAAACGTGACTAATATCGATGATTCTGAATAATAATGTAAATCGTAAATATTTTTTTCCCCTTTTTTATTTATTTCTCTTTTATTATTTTGTAATTATTATTTTTCTAAGAAATATAATTTTAATTCGTAATCGTCATTTTTCTAAAAATATATAAATATATATATATATATATATTTTTTTTTAAGTAAAATTCTTGATATTACGAATAGAAAATAATATCCAGTTCTTTCGCAATTAAAAGCAATTAAAATTTTTTATTCTCACGATTTATCGCACGATTATCCTGTTAAAAATAATGAGGAGAGAGAGAAAAAAAAAAGAAAAAAAAGAAAACAAAAAGAAAAGATCGTTCGTAACAAAAAAGTTTCTTCCAATGTTTTTTTAAGCTCTTATGTTTCGTTCCGTTTTATCGTCGAACTTGAAAGATGATTATTATTATTATTATTAATCACAACGTTATAGAGCACCACTCGTTTCCATTTTCGTCGGCCATACATAAAACACACACACACACACATACGCGCGCGCGCGCGTAAAAATGCCCATTGCCTCTCTTTTCGCGCGAAGAGTTGGAAAAAAAAAATTTAAGAGACAGAAGTAAAAGAAAAGAGAGAGAGAGAGAGAGAGAGAAAAAAAAAAGTATCCCAAGAGAGTGTGAAAATGCAATCGATACCGTGGCGATTGAAAGCGAGACGAACAAGTTCGCGCAGTAACGGAACTACGCGAAGAGACCCTTTTCGGCGATCCTCGATTTCAATTGGAACCGAATTGCACACTCTCCTCACTCTCCTCTTTCTCATTTCGACTATCTAAGACTATCGACATGTGGTGCCTAGCTTAGACGGGCTTACGAGCTATTTATTGTCGTTATTATTTTACATGATTACCATTCGCGAATATAAGTGTGTGATCGCATCGATTTTGCGATTTTATCGTTATTTTTTTTTTTTTTCGTGCCTAGTTTTTTCAATGAATCCCATGAATCGCCGCCGATCTCCTATCGTAGTGTGGTGTACAATTAACAATTAATCACCTAGGCTTGCCTCCTTTTCGCTTGTTTCCATTCCTTTCCCTTCTTTTTCTTTCTTTCTTTCTCTTTTTTTTTTTTTTTTTTTTTTTTAGATATTAAAGATATCTATCCGCGACGTGGCGCGACTCTTATCAATGGAATCTCGATTAAACGTTAGAAGCGAGGTTGCGCGAGTTAACTCGATCGGGTTGGCCACACGATTCTCATGAACGAGAAACGACTTGCAACTGTTGCGACCGTTTACAAGTCGATATTTTTTTTTTCTGTTTGTGGCCTGTTTCGACGACGGTCCTGAATATTGAAACGAGCTACGCTTTTGTTTCTCGATAGATATCTACCTATCTCGAACTCTGGACGAATAATTCTACTCCAACTTTTTTCTCAATTCGCTCAATGACGTTTCAAAAGAAATCAAAGAGTCGAGAAAGTTCGATCGTTGGTCGGATTTTGAGACAATAGCGAGAGAGGAATGTAAAGGTAGTAGAAAAAGCAAGATGTGTATTTTGTATCTTCTTTCTTTTCGTTTTTCTTT